TGATGGGAAGGAATATTTTGGGATTCTATAATGGGTAGGATTCGTTTCAAAAGGATCTTTTCAAAAATTTTTGAAAGGATTGGGAGTAGGCTAATTGGTCTATAGGATGTTGAGATATTGGGAGGTTTGCCTGGTTTTGGGAAAAGGATAATAGTGGAGTGTTTCCATAGCAGAGGGAAGTGGGTGGTGCGTAGGATACAATTGTAGATATATGTAAGGAATATGACTGCTTTGGATGGAAGTTGTCGAAGGATTTGAGGGGTAAGGAGATCATGTCCAGGAGCTTTACGGGGGATTAGTTTTTTTAATTGAAATTTCACTTCGGAAGGATGAATAGCTTTTGGGGGCAAGGAAAGTGGGATTGGTGATGTAAGGAGTTCTTCTACTGTTACGGTGTGGGCAGGATGGGATTCCGGATGTGAAATAAATGTATTGGATAGGTGAATGGCGAACTCCTCAGCCTTATCTTCGTCAGATGCTGCCCAGGAGCCATCATCTCGTCGGAGGGGATGGGAAATGCGGTGAGGATTTAGGATTTTGGTTGTGGTTTTCCAAAGGGAATTGTCGCGAGAAGAGAGGGAGGATAGGTAGGAGTTGAAGGAATGTGATCTGAAGGTGGCTAATTCCAGTTTTAATTTTTTGCAGTAATAATTATAGGAGCAGCGGTCGGCAGGATGTCGGGTACGTTGCCACAATAATCTGGCACGGCGTTTGGTGTGGATTAGGTCAAGGAGGTGTTGGGGTAGAATGGTCTTTTTAGGAATTCTGGAGGAGTCTTTAGGGAAGGAGGCAGTCCAGGCAGCTTGTTGGATTGTGGTAGTAAAGGAATTTACGGCACTATCAAGGTCATCGGGAGTTTTGAGGGTTATGTTAAGATCAATTTTATCGGAGATGATTTGGCGGAAAAGGTCCCAGTTAACTGGACCTCTAATAAATGACGGTGGAGAAGGTTTGGGAACGGGTTCAAGTGAAACATTAAGGATTAGAGGACTATGGTCAGAGGAAAGTTCATTTAGACGTGTAATGGAACAATTGAAGGGACTTAAGCCGCTGTGGATAAAGAAATCAAGGAGATCAGGATTACGGTTGGGATCTGTAGGCCAGTAGGTAGGAGAGTTGGGGGAAAGGAGGTGAAAACGTTGGGAATTGAGTGCAGACAGCAGGGTTCGGCCACGAGTATTCGTGGTTCTAGAACCCCATTGTTGATGTTTGGCATTTAGGTCTGCACCCAAGATGAAGTGATGTCCTAAGGAGTCGAGGAGAGAACGGAATTGGGCATTGGATATGGATCGGTTAGGAGGGCAATACGCTGATGCAAGGGTAACCGGAAAGGAAAAGGTTTTTATCACGATAGCGGTGAACTGTAGGAAGTCATGTGTAGCTAACTGGAGTATGTGATGGGAGAGGGATTGGTGTACAATGACAGCAGTACCGGCATGTGCTTTTCCGTCAGGGTGGTCAGTACGATATGTCAGGTATTGTGGTATTTTGAAGTGCTGTTTAGTGGTTAGTCGAGTTTCAGTAATTAGTGCCACGTCAATATTTTTGTCAAGTAATAATGTAGTTAGTTCGTTTGTATGATTCCTAACACCATTCGCATTCCAAAGGAGAATGGATAAAGGTTTATTGGAAGTCATTTAAGGATTTTTAGCGGGAGGGATAAAATGTGATACAAGATTGGTGAGAAGAGATATCAAAGGAGTAACAAGGGATCTGAATTCGGAGAGGAAAGATGTAAATAAACTGGTAAGATCTGTGGTATTTGAGGGAGGAGGAATGTGGGGAATTTGGTGTTGATAAAACTGTTGATTAGGTGAAGTTTGATTAAGATGTTGAGGGTGGGGTTGAGAATTTTGAGGCATGTGTTGTTGTTGCGGCAGGGTCTCACAATAAGTAACATCATTCTTACCTCCTAATAAGTGTGCAAAAGACACCGTTGGGTCAATTATTTTTGAAGGTCCTCTTCTTGATGCGTTAGGTTCTCTTCTTGATGCCTCTGCTTCTTCTTGGGTCCGGGATTTTTGATATCTTGATTTGATATTCTTGTAGATCTGACAGCCTTTATAGTTCGCTGGATGTCCTTCAAGGCACAAAGCACAAACTGCAGGATCCCGTTTCGGTTTTGTGCACTCCCCGGATTTGTGCTGCTCTCCACACTTCACACAGCGCGGAAGATGATGGCAGTAAGTCGTGGTATGGCCATATGCCTGGCAATTGTGACACTGTACGATTTCCCTCTTAGGATATGGCTTCTCTACTATAACACTTGTGTAGTATATTCTTCTAATTTCATATATATTTTTTTTTTTTTTTCGATCCCTTGATTTGGCTCCAAATCTACGAAAAATAAGTTTAGAGGAACTTTTACTCCTGGCTGTTCTTTACTCTCCTTCTGTACATTTGTAATCTGGCGCACTATGAAACCTAAATTTTTCAATTCTTCTTCTATTGCTTCGGTTGGTGTTGAGGGATGTAGATTTCTTATGACTACCCTCAAAGCTCGATCTTGCCGTAATTGGTACGTATGAAAATCCGCGTTGGTTTCCATTAGATACTTCACAATTTTTCTGTAGGTTTCAGCTGTATCTGGTGATATCTTCGTGTCCTTTGTTCTGCTTAGACATGAATAGCTTCCAGAGCCTGTTATTTTGTTCAGTTGTGAGCATAGTAACTGAAAATTTTTTATGTTTTTAACGAATATGGGTGGAGGTCGGGGATCTCTTGGTATTGAAGCGGATTCCATCACTTCTTTATCATTCTGAAGCACCTGATAGGGGTTAGGGGTGAAAAACGGAGATTGTTCGGTTATCTCTTGTGAAGATGTACCTGGTTGTTGCTGAAGTTCTTCAATTGTTGGTTTTGATGATGTTCCTGGCTGGGTTTCATTTTCTCTGGAGCTAATAGGCGTTACTGCAGGTGTTTGACGACATTGACGAGGCTTTTGTTTGACTGGCGAAGAACAAGGTGTTGAGCCTAACGGCCGAATTCTCTTGATAGACGCTCTACTAGACATGGCCTGATGGTGATGTCGCATATAAGGGAAAAAAAAAAAAAATAATAATAAAAAAAAATAAATAAATAAAAATAACCCTATAATTTATAACAAACAATAAATATCAATTGTTGTTATGTACTCTTGGCCTGTTTTGAATAGATAATCTCAAAGATTTCACTGTAAAATAAGCAAATTCTGAGAGACGATGTAGAAACACGACCTTTCGCATCGAATTCGGGTCACCATGTCCCGATCGAATTAAGTAAAAAATTTTACTTAACTCCTTTTCAGTTCGAAATCGGCCCATACTCTTTAGTACACAATTTAGTACTCTTTCAATAATTCTGTTATTTCAGTCATAAATGGTCCAAAAAATTGTAGGCGCACCCTTTTACGTTTTTCAAACCTTACATTACACACTGACCTTGACACTCCTTTCATCACGGCAACTGCCATAGACTACTTTAATAATTTTCATGGCAGATTGACTCTAAATTCAAATCTACTTACTCAAGCTCTATCTGCCACAAATCCATATAATACGCCCATAAGACAGCTGAGGCGCTGGACAAGAGCTATTGGTGCTATTATGTTATTTTCATTTCATTCATTTTTTTTACATTGTTTGTTTTTGTTTTGTTATTTTATTTTTGTTATGTTTTTTTCTTCTTGATCTCATGTTTGCTGAATACAGAAATATAAATAAAATATAAATGGCAAATTTATTGTAAGCCAGAAATATGTGTAACTTATAAATAAAATAAAATACTCTTTCAAGTTAATTATATTCATTACTTTGAGAAATGCGTAGATTGAGAATAGCTATTTCTTTCGAAGTTCGAAAATACACAAATTTTATCTATTTTAACTTTGCGTAGAAGAATATTTTCGGCAAAATAGATAGTTTTGGAGTGAAGACGAAAAAAAAAGTATAAATATTTTACTGTTTAATATATATGGACATTTACTAAACATTTTTAGTACGAAACTTCTAATTGAGATTCAGATTCAGAAACTGATTACATTAATGTTTTCCTCGTACAACTAATATTTGAATAAAAGAATTAGATGACTTTAACACCGCCAGTTTTAAAAACGCAGCCAGGGTGAATTATCAAGAACAGATACTTTGCATTGTATCAAATTTTTAGCTGACAGTTACTTTGTTAAATAAGACAGTTTCAAATTTCACAGCTTTAATTTAAATGTTCGTATGTAAATAATTGACTTTCTGTCGAATGACTCACGTTATGTTCTCTGATGAGGGTTATCTCTAATTTAAAACTGTTATTAGCTGAAAGGTGGTCCGTCAAATGAAACGGTGGTACAGTAATTTTTTTTTCAAAATTTTATTTACTGAGATTTTATTTTTTAATTTTATTTACAACCTTCTCTATAGTTTCCTACCTACCTGTATAGGGGATCTAAGTATCTATCTTCACTAGCCGCCATTTTGTATTTCAACGGCTATGTGCTGGCAAACGTGCATTTTTCTTGTCAAGCTGTGGGGAATTTCAATTTATAATGACAAACCTCAGTATGAAATAAGTCACCTTTTTTGCCACGGGCTCTTGGACTATTAATTATATCAAATGAAATTAGTTATGTAAAATTTAGGAAAAAAAACGATAAATCTCATGATGTGTTTAGGAAATAGTCTTTAAAATTATGTTTATTACTCAATTTTGTAAACTTAAATAATCATTAATATTAGAGCCTTTCAGTTGACAGAATGACTAACTCTAATTTAAACTTTCTTTAGTAATACCATTTTAGTGATATTTCTAGTTGGAAAATGTATAATATCTGTTCATACAGTGAGTAAGTTGATTCCACATTAGGTGGTTGCAGTGTTGAAATATAAAACTGTGAATAAATTTTGTCAATAGAAAATCACTAAAATAAATAATCAAAAATTTTGAAATTGGAGTTAGCCATTCTGTCAACTTAAAGGCTCATTTAATGCATTCTCAGAAAATTAATAACTGTGTCAATATTGTTTTAGGGTTGCTTAACAGTGATTTGGATTTGAAAGAATCTCATACACCACCTAAAACAGAAACTAGTACAGCGAAAACCAGCACATCATCCCAAAATATTCATAATAAGAATCCAATCAGCACCAGAAGACCAACTCAATCAACAACCATTCGAAGCACCAGCCGTCCAACCAGCCAAACTACCGTGCCCCAGCAGACATCAACCATGCATTTCACATCGACCCAACAGTCGGTCAAGCCTGTGGCGGAATCGAGACCTACGATTGCCTACAGTACCAGCCCGCCTTATGTAAAAACAACTGCAGCTATCAATAATAAATCACCAAGTCAGAAACCACAAACTACGTCCAAAAAACCGATCGTTTCAACGAAGAAGCCATATATCAGCGAACCCCCACTAGTAAAAATATCATTAGCTAGTACGCAGAAATTGGAGTCGACAACGAAACCAACAACTGTATCTAAGATGCCAACCACAGTTGTTGAAGAAAGAACTCCGAGCACCAAATTTCCAGAAACGAAGAAACCAATACCAGAAAAACAGAAGCCTAGCGGTATCCCTACAATAACTCATTACCTGCCTATCAGCAGCATGAGCCCTTCAAGTTCGACTTCACCCAGTTTGACAGAGCCGACTACTCTTAATCAAAAACTGTCCTCGACTTCCAAAGAACCACTTCGAGTGACAACAACAAAACGACCCTCAACATTTCCTACTTCACAAATGACCACACAGAGTTTTACTAAAAGACCTGTTCAAAATAAAATCCCAATAACGAATAACAAAACTCAATCCATTATTTCTTCACAAAATGAGAAATTAGTCATGAAAAATCCAAAGCCTGCTGCAGAAACTACAACTACTATGAAACCACAGAATGCAACTACTACACCAGTTCCGCCAACGACAGTTATAAATGTGACCACAGAACCAATAGTTTCAAATGAACAAATTACAACATCGACTGAAAAATCGAGTACGAATCCTGAAGCTGAATCAATGTCAACCACACATATGCCCATGAACAATTCCCTTTCACTTGATCAAGAAAAACACGAGTTGGAGAAACATTCCGGACTCGTACCAGAAAACAACTTGATAGGAGAAAACAGCAACATAATAAATTCTAAAGTCAGACCATCGGCATCTCCAATTGTAATGAGTACTACAACCGATCCTTCAGAAAAATTAACTTCATCTTCCACTCCGTTTCCTGAAAAATTCACCACTTTTTCATATACATCAAAGATAACACCAACTGGTGAAATAATTACTATATCTCAACCGACTGTAAATTCAACCCAAGATAAATCAACAACCGGAACATCCTTCCAAACAACTACAGTTCCTTCTAAATTACCGACTACTATTGACACTCGAACAACAGAAAAACCACTTGAAAGAGAAACATCACTGTCGCAACTATCATCTAAACCAATGGAAACCGTCCGAGACCAAATCCTGATTTCTAGTTCAATGCAACCAACAACTTATCATCCTCAAAATTTCAGTTTTCCTTCGGAAAAAAATCAAGTTCAAGTCCTGTCATCGACAACTCCTATTTCTACTACCATTATGACGAATTCCCCCACTGACGAAACAAAGAAACAGACTATAACGACCCCTGTAACAATAACAGAGCAACCCGCCTATAGTTCAACGAACCCGATACAGTTGTCCTTGCGCTCCAACTTTAGTGCAATTGATGCGGCAACAACATTACAAAGTGTAACCAAGCCCACAACACTTGTAGATAACTTGGGAGAAACTACAATTGCTGTAACAACGCCTATTTCGAATGCAAGTTCAGAAACAACAATTAATGATTCTACATCGTATCCCACAGAAGAAATACCTCTGCAGGAAATACCCTTAAAAATATATGAAAGTCTGAAGGATAATGTTAGTGGTGCTCAAGATCTGTTGACCACAATAATGTCAGAGAATTTATCAACAACCCCCGAAAAAGTGGAAAACTATTATTCAACAAATTACGAAGTAACTGCCCCCACGACCACTACTACGACTGATAAAGTGATAACAATATTTGATATAGTCAGTTCAACTACGATCCCACAAAACCATTATGTTATAGTAAATAATTCTGAACCTTACATTTTGGAAAAAAATGCACCCTCATTCATTAGCTACACCGAAAGTGAGATGAACACATCTACCACAAACGAGCCAACACAATTCAGCACAGAAGCTCCAGTCGATCGAAACACCAGTGTATATGAAAGTACGCCACAAGATGAAGCAACAACGTTTTCAACAACCATCCCAGTTAATAATTCCGAACTGGAAAGCTTGGAAACAACACCCAATTTAGATTCAACAACAATGTATAAAGATCAAATAGTGCAGGAAGGAATATCTGCTGTAACCAGTATACTCCTTGACCAAGCACAAAAACAACAAGCAATGAAACAAGCAATTTTAGCAACGGCGATAAAAAGTGATGGTACTTTAGATATGGAACGAATAAGGACGACAACAGAAGACGAACGAATTACGACTACAATGTCTGATTCTACAGAGACGTCTGTAGGAAAATTTGGTTCCGATGGGGAACAGATGAAATCAGAAGTAAGACAGGATGAAGATGCAGAATTACCTGAGAAATTCACAACCGTAGAAGTCGAGATCACAACTCAAAGCGACAAACCGAAAACAGAATATCCGCCGATAAAAGATGAAATAAAAGTAAGTAATGTTAGCAGTAATAAGCAACAGATAAAAAAAACTGAACAAAAATCCACTCCTGTAGTACCAACGAAAGAGAGCAAATTAAATCCGGATACTGATCATGGGTTAAAAAAGAAAACCTCTAATAAAAAACATGGAGAAAATATACCCTTGTTAAGAACATCACCTATTCCCGAATTCACTGCTACTACAGAAAGGCTGAAATTGCAAGACTCGGAAAAACCTGTACCAAAGCCGTTGAGTCCATTCGCTAAGAAACCAAGTTCTGTCTACCAGTCTTTGGATAACCTTCCGCCGGTAGCTATCGAACTGAATCCAGCGCCCTATGAAAGTATGGGCCTGGAAGCGTCTATAGCATTCTTAGGCGAGGATGTGCGGAGGTTTGCTGACCTGTGCAACGAACTGGCCTTCAAGCTCTGGACATCAATAACCGGAAAGGGCCAGATAGCCTCACGGAGTCTTGTCATGTCACCTTTTGCTGTTACCTCCCTCTTGGCTATGGTATTCCTGGGAGCTAGGGGGCCGACGTCGGGACAAATGAACGATGTTCTTCGCCTCGACGATATGGTCACCTTCAACCCCCATCAAGTACTCCAAAACGTCACTGAATCCGTCATTAATTCCAAAAATAATGGTATTGCAACCGCAGCATTTGTTCGAGAACTTTATAGTGATAAGGTAAAGGATATATTATTATATAAGTAAATTTGAGTAATGACAAAATTTTATTTATTTATTCGATTTTATATGTTTCCAGACAAAGGGTAAAATTTTAGATTTTTACAAGGAGAGGGTACAGCAGTACTACCAAGGACATGTCGAAGAGGTTACATTCACAACCATTGGAGACATCATCCGAAGAAGAACTAACTTGCTAGTGAAGAGACAGACATTGGGAAAAGTACCAGAATACTTGCGCGGCTCGAGCCTCAACATGCGTCCACCCTTGGCAGCCTTCAGTGCCAATATATTCCAAGTGAGTTTGGATCAGTACCTTGTGATATGTGTAGCACCAAATCTTTTAGTAAACTTTTCTTATTTTGTAATTTCAGTTTTTCATAAATTATATTATGCTACAGTGACACTAACAAGATATTAACTATTTTATTTACATATAAAATATTAAATATTTCCTTAAACTTATTTATATTTTCACTATTAACTTAGGTAGTGCGGCAATCGATCAAACTAGTCATTTTTCATGGTCGTTTAATTTATTCTTTTAAGATTCTCTGCATCCCTAAAAATTAAGGTTTTAAAAACTGGCGTAATCTTTTCTAGTTAACATCCAACATATAGTATATTATTTCACTAAGCATCGAAATGGGTTACATACCAATATTTTTTGCTGAAATACTATAAATTGGGTCTCATTGGATTCATAATTTCCCAGGCGATTAGCGAATTGGCCTCTCAGTTTTTTTTTTTTTTTCCTTTAAAAATAAATAAATTCGGCCTCGAAATCTAACTCGGCGGATTGAAACGGGGCGAAACTTTCTGAGATCGACTTCAATACCGAAGAAATTTTAACAGGCCCTGGCATTTGACAACTCTAAATTCTACCGTTTTCCAGATTAGGTACATTTATCGCATTTCACTGATTAGGTTTCTATGAATGGTAGAGGAGGAGGTAATTTTAAGTTGAACTCTATTCAATTTGATTATCCATCTATTTAGCAACAGGTGTGTTCCTGGAGATAAGTGGTTTTCCGATGATAATCACATTTCTGATTATAATAATTATTTGAAAACCTAGTTGAAAGTGAACGGGTCTTGAATTTAAATTTTGATTATGGCGGATTAGAAATTAAATTTTCTAGTACAAACTGTTTACAGTTAACTAAGCTAAGCTCTATACTAACTTATTTTTTCATTATTACTTATCTTTATTTAAAGTCATCAAATTGGATAGGAATCAGAAAGTTTACCTTTCGTAAAATCGTCTAATTAAATCTATAAATTTATATTGAATAGGGATATGTTCAGAATAACAATATAAAACGTTCAGTGTTTGAAAACTTGAAACAGTTTTATTATTATATGATACAATCTTTTTTTTCCATCACTAGATGCAAAAAATATTGTCTTTGTTAATACCGCATCAAACGGAGGGCCGTTTTTGACTATGCTAAATGTTCAGGAATTGAGTTTAAAATAATACAAACATATTTATACTCAGGTCCATTGAGAGAAATCCGGGGTCCCATGGTTAAATATTTTCGGCTCCCAGTCAAATATTAATTTCACCACTGAAACCTAACTACATCCTTTAAAATATGTACAACCAAAAATTATGTAAATAAGTTACATGTAATATGTAATTTATATAAGATATGTAACGTTATTTATATTGAAGATAAAAACTAAAACCTGATCGACTCCGGATTTTTCAATATTGGAGTCATCTGAAGGATCAGTCATTTTTCTTTCAACAGAATGAATTATTGTGGTTAAAGTTATTGAATGAATAATATATATAGTTCTTTAAATAGTTCTCACAATTCAGTTGTCATACCATTGGATTCTGACAGGAAGTACTTTTATGGTTCTCACCACAACGGGCACCGGTAGGTTTGTGGTTAGGTATGGTAGTGTGTGTTCGGTATGACCATGTAGCTGAAACTTGTTTTAAACCGTGAGATGGTTTTGATAACGTCAACTAAAACCCTGATGCCTTCTTTCCTCATTTCCGTAAAATGTACGTTACTTTCAATTTTCAATCTTAAAAGAAATATTAGACACTGAATTTCATTAAACACTGTTCGTAGACAAACTCCATTGATAGGTACGAATGCATTTTTTCTCTCTTCAAACAATTGATTAAGAAATAATAAGGAGCAAGTATAAGCAAATGCAAGAAGCAATTCTGGGGCTATATATATAGATTTTTTTTTTAAATAAAGGTTCACAGATGTAATAATGCTTTTAGAGATAAAATGTTTATATTTTTACTTGGAACTTGCTTAAATTTAGTTGCTAATATAAATCCGTTATTATTTTAAAAGAGAACATACTGTGACGATGTATTTGGTTAAGATCACTCCTAGAAAAAACTATGGCCTAATGCAAACATTGCCTCCCTTAAATCCAATAGTGTTTGTCAGTAAAATATAATTGTGTTTAATATTTTAAAATTTTATTATTGTCAGTAAAGTTACTTTTATTGTGAGTAGCTTTCGGTATAGAGTAATAACAATTAAAATTTACAATCCTATTTACGAAATCAATAGAAAGTCTCACGTTCACGCCAACCCTAAGCAGGTCCATATATTTCATACCTACATGTTATCAGGGGTGCGCCCACAAGACGGTTTCATGGCGCAAGTTGCGCCATTAAAATTTTTGAGGGGGGCACATTTTGAGGGAATTTTGAATTTTGAGGGGAGCACATTTTGACGGACTTATGAATTTTAGGATTGAAAAGTTTCAAAACATGGAGCAAACCTTAGCAAATGTAATTGTGTATGATTTCCGGTGCTTTTATTTCTAATGTTTTTAAGAAGAGGACAGCAATAAAATATCTTGGGAAGAGGAGGTTCATGGGCCATCTACCTTGCAGGGGAGAAGGGGATGGGCACCCCTCATCTCATTGATATCAGACTGATTTTTAAATTACTAATACAATATCTTGAAACAAAACAAAGCAATTCATGGTTTGTTTTATAACAATAATTTGTGATATTCCTAAACGCTTTGGTATCTCTGATTGGCATAGGAGAAAATGGATTAAGGTGTTTCTAATTTATCTTCCAATAACAATTCATGCTCTTCTTTTCATTGAAAATCCCGAAAGAAATTGTATGTGTTTGATAATTATATCTTATATATTTATTATGAATGAATAGTTAAGATATATAGCAATAAAATTCCAAATCCTTTTTTGTATTAATGACACTGTAATCCTGATTTAATTAATGATGATGTGGCATTCTTTATGATAATTAGATAATGCTACAGTTTAGACTACCAGAATATATATTCCTTGTTTTATTGATCAGAAAATATACTTACTTACTATATATTTTTCCTTCTTTATTTATTTTTGTACTATTGTAAATCTAACCAAATAAAAAAATATTGTGATTTCAGACTGACTGTGAGCATGGTTCTACAGAAGGTCGTGACGGAGAAATGTACTTTGTAGTAAGACCTTCTACTAGGCAAAGGAGGCTTGTTCCAGTACCAGCAGTCGTTTGGAGATCAGGATTCCTTGCAGGTTACGAACCGAGTCTTGATGCCACTTCAGTCTGCCTCGGTCCAGAGTCTGTTGTATCCACCATCCTCATCTTGCCAGGACAGCAAGGACAGGTCGCACCAGGTGACGGCTTGGCACGATTAGAGCAGCGCCTCATTGAAACTACATATAGAAGGGGAGGCTGGTCTCAGATCTTGAGAAGTTTAATGCCGAGACCTGGGTTGGAGCTCCAGATTCCCAGGTTCTCACATAGATCTGTCCTCAATATGACCGGGGCCCTCCAACGGATGGGCTTGCGAGATCTCTTCAATGCGCGGCGAGCCGATCTGCGTGGCCTCAATGGTCTCTCGAATGATTTGCACCTCTCCGACATGCTGCAAGTGAACACATTCAGTACCTGTGGAGAAGAAACTATTGGTGCTAGACATCACGTCGAAACCTACCCAGCATCTCCACAGCGAATTGGTAGGGATGAGACAGATCACTACTCATCCAGAGATTTAGATTATGCATTCGGAGATTTGCAGTTATCATTGAGGCCTAGGCAAGCTAGACTTCCTGACAACCCTAGATTGAGATTTGATAGACCTTTTCTCTATATGGTCAGGCACAATCCATCAGGGATGATCCTCCATATGGGCAGGTTCAACCCCAGGCTATTGCCTTGAAATAAATTACTGCCTGATTGGCAATGAACTCGATGTATTTTACATTTCTGTGAGTATGTGTGATATATTAGGAGTTTCGAAGTAAAAATTATGAATGAATTATAAAAAATAACAATTCTATTTCACTAATAGATTTATCGAAGTTTAATCTATTTAATGTGACTGTATGAAATAGGAGATAATAATCATTTATTTGTAAATAATAAATTATAAAAGGTTTAAAGTGAGAAGCTTTAGAACCATACTGTATATTTATTCATTCGATTTTACTGATGTTTATTAACAAATGTATATTTTAATCACAAATTGTATTACCCTCTGAAATCTGTGATTGAAATAGCTATAAAAACCTTGGTGGAATCGAAGGAATATTTCATTCATATAAAAAATAAATACAATGAAAGTGGCAATATTAATGTGGCAATATTTGCGGAAGTCTTAACAAATTTAAATTTTTTTATTTATTTTACTTCTTATTTGTTACAAATATATTTTTCAAGTACAAAGCACAATGAAAAACTATTAAAATTTTGTATAAATTTTTTTTAAGGTATAATTTTAACTTGTATATTATTATATTTTAAGTGTTCCTTGTGAATTAATTTATTTTTATTAAAATAAATTATTTGTTTTTTTCTCTTTGTTTTTTAATACCTTTTTATTTTATATTTAAGTGATTTCTTTACTCATAATTATAATGCTAAATTTCAAATATTATCATTTATTTGATTAAAGTATTATACCTCAGCTATTATTTACATTGATAGATTAATATTGGTCACTATAATTATCTACTAAAAAAAAAATTGACTGCAATAACCCTTCCATCTCTATGGTAATTTTCCTAATCTTCAATGACGCTTTAAGAGACAACACATGAGATAAGGGGTCTAAGGTTCAAGCATTATATCAACTATCCAATCATTCTTCTCTTAGTTGAGCTACAGGTTGTTTCTCTATTATATGAATTATATGAGTCTTTTAAATTACCACATTCAGTTTTTTTATAATAATGTTTTCCTGCTCGAGAAAACATTCTGAAAATAACAAGTCGTGTTCATCAATTAAGAAGAAGGTGTTTGATAAAAAAGTAAGACATAAAATATTTCTTTAACTTTTTGTGATAGGCCATATTATTTCTTCATATTATAATTATATAATTTTAATTAAATTTATCTTTTATATATAGTTCACTATTCTTGTTTTTTTTTAATACCAATTAGTTGAAAATTTTGAATAAAAAAAGCGTATAATAAAATAAAATTTTAAAAAATATGTATTATATTATATACTTTTTTTAACTAAACATTGCCTTTTGTATAGAGTGGCCAGCAAAAGTGTTCATTCACGCATTGGTAGAAAATAAAAAACTCAATAAAAACAATTCTGTATTGTATATATATATATATATATATATATATATATATATATATATATATATATTTTGCTATATTTAAACATTTTAGTATAACTTCATTACCACTCTCAATAATTTTATCAAAAATTTTTGCCTAAAAATGAACAAATATTTTAAATAAAATTTGAAGTAAAAAATAAAACTTTTAAAGCAGAAAACGTTTTAATAAATATTCATATTATGTGATAATCTATGTATTTATTTTATTAAAAAGTTTTAAATTAATGTCTTGAATTAAGTCCTATATATTTTACTACCATTTTATGTCATTTGGGGTCAACTTTGATGTCATTTGGTAGGGTACTTTTCTCATTCTTCCAACAACTTAATTTCAAGATATTTTAGTGACGTCATATTTTCATTTATGAACTGTGGATCAACACGAACCCATAAACGTTCAATAGGATTTAAATCTGGATTCTGGAGAGGAGTTTCATGTTCATTTAGATAATAATATAACAGCCATTTTTGTGTGTGAGAATGTGGGACCGATCGTTACAGTCTGGTAAAATTTGAATGTTTGTTCTGTACTCACTTTTGTCCCTAAATTTCCTTTTCATTCCTTTTAAATTTATACTTACTGGTTATTCCATTGATAAAAACCGAATTCACAAGTCTACATGTAGACATGCTAACCCTTACAAGACCACTAACTGCCTCCACTTTTTATTGCAGCAGACAAATTCTTCTCCTTCAATTTATTTCCTACTTTTCCCCATACGATTGGTGTTAAATTTGTTCTTATGTGAATATATTGCATCACTCAAGTAAACTTCAAATTTTTGTATAAACCTTTGATAAAAGCCAACATATTCTTTTATTCCTTAAATTTATGAGAGATCATTATCAATTCACTCTGACTTTAATCCATATTATTTTAATATTCTCTGAATCATTTTAGATCCACCTTGGTTTCCTTCTTCTTCTGATTTACCTATGATTTTATTTTCATAGACTGTTAAAGATAGTGCAACAAAAATGGGTAGAGAACAAACATTCAACTTTTACCAGGATAATAACCCTTTGACACAAGCTCTTCACACACAAAGCAACGGCTGCTGTATAATTATCTAAATGAACATGAAACTTCTTTCTAGAGTTCAGATGTAAATCTTATCAAACATTTATGGCTTTTTGTCAATCCACAGATCTTAAATGAAAATATAACATCAGTCAAATATCTTGAAACTAAGTTGTTGGAAGTATGGAGAAAATGTCATCCTGATTGACTTCGAAGCTGGTACTATAATACAAATGACTTCATTCAAGATATTAATTTAAAACATTTGACTAAAATAAATACATACATTATTATATAATATGAATATGTATGAAAACTTTTGCTGGCCGCTATATATTTATATATATGTTACCTTGAAAGACCACAATCTGGAGAATGTCTACTTTCACCGGTGAATGTCAACAGTCACATAGTTGCTTGGTGTATGTCCAAAATATTTGCTAAATACATTTATTTCTGACTTACACCGGAAATGTCAACAATCACCATGCAATAATATTAAATGTTGAACATGTCGAGAATTTATATTTTCTCTCCGTAATTCAGTCGCTATAAATAGCCACAAGAGTGATGTAACTTTTTTGCCTCTCTTTCTGACAGAAGTTACTAAGAATATAAAACACAGTACATTCTAAATAATAAAATAAAATAATAGTAATAAAAAAATTACTTCAAATCGGACATATATCTTAGACCTATAGATTTTGAATATTACTTGATTACTGAATTCTCTATTATTATCTGATTACAATATTACTGGTCCATCAAATGTTAAAAATATTAAAAGAACGTGATACGCTAATTCTTCAGCTCGTTTAGTTTTCAAAGGTCGTAGCTGAACAAACTTGGTTAAAAGATCTTGACACACCATTATGAAGTTATATTCATCATCTCTGTTTGACTACAGGTCTATCAGATCAACTTGACATCTTGAGTTTAACTCAAAACTGACCATTGGTTTCACAACAATATCTTTCTTAGGTACACTGTTTCCATAAATTTAAATACATTACAACTTCATATGTGATATTTTTGTATTTAACTTGCAACTCTTTAAGCATATGTGTTCTTCCTCCGTGGCCTCTCCTGGTGTGAGTTTCATATAGTATTCTGAACAATTCTTCATTGGTAAAATAATACTGTACATTCGTTTCCCCTGGTTTTATTGTAACAATTAACTTCTCTTCATGATTAATTTTTCATGTCAAACATACATACATACATATAAGGCGCTACATCCCGTCACCGAGACTGGGCCTCCTCCAAAAGCTTTCGCCAGTCGATACGATCAGCTGCAGCAGCTCTCCAGTTTCGGACTCCCAGTAGAGCCCGTGCGTCCGATGTCACTGAATCCTCCCATCTTACATTTGGCCTGCCAACCTTTCTTCGTCCATGCATCTTTCCGGACAGCATTTTCCTGGGTACTGCCCAATCATCCATACGTACTACGTGCCCGTCCCATCGAAGTCGTCCTATCTTTATAAACCTCACCAAGTCTGTGTCCTTATAAAGACAAGCGAGTTCGGCATTTTTCCTTCTTCTCCAAATTTTTCATGTCAAAAGGTTTTAATCGTCTGTAATCCAAAGGTGTGTAGCACTTAGTTGTCAGAAACCACTTCAGAAAGTATTTTTGAGTACTTTTCTTGAGAAAAATAAAAACAATTCTCTTCTCGTTTACCGGCAATCAATGCATTTACTTTTTTAAGAAAAATATCATAATTTACTGCAGTATCCATTCAGTATAAATTACGGTATTGGAAAATTTTTTTAAGAAAACATTGCTCGCTCAAAGGTTGCATAAGACTGACAAAGCTGACTGACTCCTAGCAGAACAAAGGATTTGGCAGGAGAGAGCCAGTTGGTTCCTCTCTTTTGGACCTCCACCAGAGCGTATCTGTGATTGTCGACATACACCAGTGAGGGTCGGAATGTACAAGAATGCAATGAAATATTCGATCTTTCACCGACTTATTTGGTATGTGTTGACATTCTTCAATTTCAGTCTTTCAGGGTAACATATATATAATATTGGCAAAATATAGACAATGTTATTTTTTAATACATGAATTATATAAACTATATTATGTAATAAATATTGGATTAAGAAAACATAATAATATTAGTTAATTTGTTAAATCTGAAATGATTATTTTAAAAATATAGAATTAGAATTATATAATTAAATAAATTTATATATTTATTAATTATAAAGTTATGTTTGTATGAGAGAATAGTAATTATCTTCTCTGATAAGAGATCTAATGTTAGACAAATCTTTATTTAACTAGCATTTGTTTTTACAACTAAAGTACATTTCCAAAAATATTATATGTGATAAGAGCTGTATATTTATTTTTCAATTATATATTATTTTTGGAATTCTTTATAAAATAAGTGGGTTTGGTAAACTCTATTCAAGCAATTAATTACAATATTTTAGGGATAGAGAATTTGAAACATTATTTGATATGTTGATTTAATTTATAGTTCTGTTTTTTAAGATTTTTTTTTTATTTCTTAACAATTATACACTCCTTCCTTTGAGAAAATATTTCCAGATGGCTGAATAGATCTTTACCAACTTCTCACGCTTATTTTTTATATTGATTAATCATAAACTGCACAGTACAAAATAGTAACCAGGTCGGTCTCTGCACAAATTTTTCTGAAGAATGTCCTTGTTCTCTAAAAAAATCACTTTTAATCTTTCTTCCAATGAGGTTTTTTTATAATCATTATATTATAACTAACTGAACAACTTTAAAATTTTGAATGAATGATATGAATATAAACTAAAATTATAATACTGATACTGAGAGAATTAAAAATTGATAAGTTAGAATAACATATCAAACCATGAACATGTAGTTAATTACATAGAATCTGTTCTATATGGAAAATTTTCTAACTAGGAGGTAATCTTAAATTAATTTAAAAATAAAGTATACAATTTATCTTCCACAATGTAAATAATATAGAAATCTTTATGAATTCACTTTTGTATTGCAGTAAAAAAAAATGTACAAAAACTAGTTTAACCTCATTTAAAGTTTCAAAGAATGTATTAAAGAACGAAAACTTCTGCTGGTCACTACATGTGCAAGAAAAAGTAATATGAACATAAAAATCACGATTGAAAATAAAAAAAAATGTCCATAACATCAATTGAAATAAATAAGTTGAACAAGTATGAAGGTT